TAATGCAGTTGTTACTATGGTAAGATATGGAAATAACAGTGCATGTTGAAAAACTGAGAGCTACAAAAGAATATTCATATTAGAAGAAAGACTATAGCCTTGAATAAAATCTTCCATATTTATTTACTTAAGAATGCAAGTGAGGGTGTGTGGTGCCTTGAGACAGCTCTCTCAAGTTTTTGTCTACTGGCTTTAGGTTAAGGAGGATTTTGATTATAGATAATAAGCCTCTCTCAAAATCTTTATTTGCAATGTGAGGTGATAGTTCATTATATAGTAAACATCAGTAACTAGAAACAGTGCTTACCTTCAAAAGTAATACTAAGACTTGACTAATACTTGAAATCCACAAAACAAATGACCACTAAAAATTCTCAAATTTTTGTGAATGTAATTCACACAGGTATTTCATATTTCAGAGCAATATATACTATAATAGATGCTCATAAAACAATCTATAACTTTAATAAAAATGTTTTGCATTTAATCTGGAAACAAGGTATGCCATTAGTAAAAATTTATATTTTTTTCAACTACATTAAAAAGAACAAGATTAAATTCCTTCACTTTTTGTTAGTGCTTCACTGCTTAATAAACAAAACTCATACATTATCAAAGAAAAATTCAGTACATTCCTATAAAATATTAAGAAGAAAACTTACTTGTGTCTGCTTGGCTTCCCACACTGATGTATCTATCATTTCCAGGAAGTGCTGTTTGATAGTAAGCTGTCTCTTCTTGGGGAGGGGTCTTGGCATTCTTTGCAGTAAGGAAGGCCACTGCCAACTCCAAGTTTCCATTACTATCCTTCAAATGTCAAGATAGAAACATCCAATGTTTTGGAAATAATCCTATACAATCACAAATGCATGCAATTTTCTCCACAGTACTTTGTAGCAAAAATCATTTTGATTAGATATTTTCCTAAAAGCAACTCTAATTAAATCATATATATTCATGACCCATAAACTATACCATCTCAAAAGGTATTTATTTATCAAAACTACCAATATAATGCTAAAATCAATTCTCTAATTTATTACTTTTCTATTACTTTCTTATCATTTTGGCAAAATCCAATCACAAACTTCTAATTTTAACCCTAAGCAACAGAATTTTTTTTTTTCCCGGAACTTGCCATGTAAGAGTGAAAAGTAAATACTTTAAAATAGCACTTCTCCAAGCAAGGATAATAGAAGATAGTTTGTATATCGTGGATATTGACATAAAGCTAGAAGGAGACGTAAACAAAATGTCAAGGACTCAGGAAGAAAACAGCCAAGGCACTGAAGCCTGGGGTAGGGAAGGTCACACAGAACCACTGCAACAAAGACACTCCCTGTGTCACCAGGATGTCAGCCCTGCTGCAGCTTACATATAAATCTCACTGAGTACTCATCCAAAGCTACCTAATCAAACTGTTCTAAAGTTCACTCAAAGTAACAATTCTAGTAAAACTGAGAATCTTTAAAACAGCAAAACAAAAAGACATGCCAGTTTCTTCTTTAGATTCTCTACATGGTTAATGATAAGAATACAATGCTAGCTCAAGACAGCTAACCAAGACAGCACAATAAGCCCAGTTATTAATCACAGGTATCTCTGTAACAGGAACCAGGATGTAGAGGGCCTGAGGTCTTCAGTCAGGAATGGTTTTGGACAGGAAGTACATGGTATGACTTTCCCTTTAAAGGATTTATGCTGGCTATGCATCATAATAAAATAAGCCATGATAGAAGAATCAAGATAATTCCAAAATTATCAGCAATCAAAGAATGTCCCTAAAACGTACCCCCAATTCTCATTCTAGCAAGTTAGGATAACTTGGAAAATACTACTGCTTTAAAATCCACTTCCAGTATGCTCATTATGATTCTAGAATGACTCACCAAAATCACAGGTTTATAGTATTCCACTGTTAGATAAGTACACTAATCATAAAATGAACTGCAATAATGACAGTCAACATTGATTAAGCATTTACTCTGTGCTAAGGTGTTTTTCATGCACTTCTTCATATAATAACTAAATACAGCAGGAATTTATAACTTTGAGGTTTACTTTGTATGGCTAAATACACATTCTTGTTATGGTTTGGATGTAAAATGTCCCTCACAGGCTCAAGTGTTTAAATACTTGTCCCTAGCTGATGAAGTGACCTCTGGGGGTGGGGAGGTAGTTTATTCCTAACATAGCCAGCCCCACTTCCTGTCCCAACTCTGCTTCCTGGTCAGCCAAGATCAGAGTGTGCAGCCCCAAGCTCCACCCAATATAAGAGGGACCATACCCCTAAATCATCAGGCCAAAATAAATCCTTCCTCCCTTAAGTTGCCTTTTTAAAAATTATATGCATGTGTGTGAGTGTCTCTGTGTGGGTATATACATGTTGAGTATGGGTGCCAGCAAATGCTGGAACAGAGCATCAGATCCTCCAGAGATGGAAAGTTGATGCTAGGAACTGAACTGCCGTCTTCTTCAAGAACAGCGCCATCTCTACGCCATCTCTCCAGCACCTCCTAAGCTGTTTTGTCAGGCATTTTGTCAGAGTAACAAGAAAACCAATTAATACCATTCTCAAAGGTGAGGAAAGCATTCAGAGTTACTGTAGCTCCCAAAAGTATGTACCTAGTTGGTATATTACTAAGAGAATCAACTCACTATTAAACATCTTAAAATTTATACAGGCCATCAATTAGCATTTAAGTATGCTGTTTATCACTAAAATTAAAACAGAAGCTTGTAGAAAAGAGAAACTACTTACATCAAAAGAAATGTGGACAAGACCTAATTTGATCTATATTTTTCAAATTAAAAAAAATTAATTCTCTAAATTTACAGTAGCAAAGTGATGGACTACAGTCTCAATCCTCTGTGCTACACTGGGAAAAGCACCTTCTGAAAATAGACTTGGAATGATTTAATTATGGTATTTATCAGAATAAAGGAAGGACTGGCAAACATCTAAATGTCAAACTCGTAAAAACTGAGGTGCTACAATTCTGCATTCTCTCTAAGTACTTACAGTAGCTTTCTAGCTCTTGTAGTAACAGTCAACAATGCTATTTTTTCAAGTGTGTTCAAGGGAAATAAGATGAAGCAAAGTTTCCAGTAAAAGGAGCAGAAAATTAGCATAGCATCTGGGGATCAGGCTGCTGTGGCTTCTATTCCAGCTCCTCCATGTACTCTTGTGTGAGCTGAGGAGATTTACTCTAACTTCTGTTTCTTCATTTTCAAAAGGGGGATAAAAATGCCTTTCTCTTAGATTTATGAGGATGAGTTCGCTACATAAAGAACTAAAAGCTGCCTGGTCCAAGCTGTCTAGTATTTAGTAAGAGTTGGTTATCATTAGTGTTGATGATTTTTAATACAATCATGCCAAACATGCAAATTGGTTTTAGAAACAAAGACCCTATGGCTCAGAATCAGGCAGCATATTAACTATTTCACATGGGGTAAGTTACAAAGGTTCAGAGCTATATATGTGAATATACTGATAAAAATGCTACATACAAATTAGCTTGAAATACAGTTCTACTTCCAGCACATCTTTCATTCACTTTATCTTTTTCCACTGTGAACTGTCCATGAGAGTTGACTCATCTCAGCACCTCCATGGGGAAATGAGGGTGTATCTAGGATACAACCAAAATGCTACACTGGATTTATTGCATACACTACTGAAATTTGAAGTTGAACATTTTTAAGGCATGACTAAATGAATGGAAGGAATTTGTACTGCTCATTCTTAGGAGGGAAAACAGGAAAGCAATGGAATACAACTATTTTTCTACTTTTCATTCATTAGCACTAGTATTCACATCCCACTATTTTGTAGGAAAAACATCTGATATGGAGTGACTATCCATCACTCTAAAGTATCATGGAACATTAAGTTACTGATAATTTACATGTGCAGAATTGTAGTATTTGAAAAGAGGCTCTCATTTTACAAAAGTACCTTCCTCTATGTCTACTGCTATCAAATGGTTTACCTGAAAAACTCAACTTTCAAATATATTACACAACAGAAAGAAGGGTATACTACAAATGGTATGTTACAGAAAAAAAAAAAAAAAAAAAAAGGCCATACCTTCAAGGCTTGTTGCAGTATCTGGGCATCATTAATCCCAGTTATTTCTCTCAGCTGATTCAAAAATGTTTGTTGGTGCTAGAAGAAGGGAAAAATCAAAAATTATACACTAGGAACTACGAAAATATTAAAAGACCTTTTATTTTTAGAAAAAAGATAGAAAAAGAAAGTAGAGCTTAAAAGATACAGTGTAAAATTTCTGTTCTTTTGGAAAGAAGGAACTATGCAGTGGAGAGCCCTTATTCCATTCTCTTATTCCTAAAACTGAACTTCTATATTACTTCCCAAATAGTCTTACTAAATTAATGCTTTCAGTCCTATTCTTCACTTCCTGAGATGGTATCTCAGCAAGAAATGGAGAATTTCCTTAAGCCTGAGGGTAACTCCTGGGATGCTTATCACAGGCTGTGCACTAAACCAGTAACTACATCATAAGGGTCCTAAGCTCTTGTCAAAAAAGACAATCATTTGATTCTACAATTTAACTGTTATAAAGCACCATAACTTAAACTGGTTTACCCCATTTCCTTCAATTCTCTTCAGAGTCTGGTAGTCTATATAATCTCAGAACCTACTGGAGAGAAAAACAAAATAGGATTGAACTCTATTACCAAACCTTTTAATTGTTGTCTCTATGAACCATAGTCCTCCCTATACACCTTTATAATCTATTTCTTAAAATAAGTTCCCCCAAACTATGGAACAGCATCATGAAATAAAGAAAGCACAAGAGATGTAATAAGGAAAACAAGCTTACTCCCTGAAACAACTTGGGTGCTCTTGAAGTATTACTTTAAAATATTTTATACTTTTCTCAGTAACTATTCAAGCAAGAATCTTTAATGGGATGCTTAAACTACTAGGTAAAAGTATGATGAGAAAAAGAATACTTACAAAGTTTCAAACTATAAATTATAAATAGAGAAAGAATAACTCTATACTGGGAAAGCTGACAGCCTCCATATTAACTAGAAAATCAAAGTTAACATTACAGGTAATAGGATGAAATGACAGTATGTGCCCCCTGACATTCTGTAGCCTGTGACAGTCTGGCAAAAACACACAACCTGAATCTCGTCTTGAAGAAGCATTGGACAACCTCAAACATGTAATTTAGGGCAGAAGAGCTGTCTCATTACTGTTTTTAAGATGCCTGTACACCAAAGGCAAAATGTGAGTCTCCATTTTAAGGGAAGTTCAGAGGGAGAACAACCAAATGGAACATGGGAGGGCAGCCCACACTGCTGCAGGCCATGCACAATGTCGATGCAGATGCTGCAGAAGCATGCATGAGAGCTGCTCAGTTAATGACACTACATTAGTGTTACCCTCCTCAGATGGAGAGGCCCATCATAGAAGGAAAACATCTTTTTCTTAGAAAATATAACAAGTGTTTAAATGATAGAGTGGCAGGCTGTCTACAGGACAAATAGTTCAGGAAAAAATTAGTGTTCCCACATTAAATTTGGAATGATTCCAGATGGCTTGAAGCGTTCTGTATTCAGATTGATTTGCTTGTCATAATTATAAAATCATCATCTCAATATATCCTGAGTAACTTAAGAATGTGTATAAATGCGTTCAAAAATCAGAGGTCCTAAAGAAGCTACAAAAGGAAATGGGTAAATTTAAAACGTCAATGACAATCCAACACACACACACACACACACACACACACACACACGCACACACACGTGCGCCTTTCATAAAATTGGATGGGTTATTTGAAAACTCTATTCAGCTACATGTGGGAGTCTGAATAGTAACTACACATTCTACAATGCCTGCCTGACCACTTGTTTGTTGTTAGTTTTGTTTGTTTTTCTCTCCAATAATGTAAGACGACTAGCAACAGTTAGAATCCAAATATGATAAGGACACACAACATGGTATCAGGGTGATTTCCTGCTTGTGTATTCCCTAAGAGATTCATGTGTTTGACCTCCATATTCTCCCCTCCAACATCTTGTATAAGTTGTAGCAGAAGGGCAAAGGATAAAGGGCAAGAGGCACCTGCCAGATGAAATTTGTCTTCTTTAACAAACCCCACCATAGACCTCCACTTAAAACCTCTTCGAACTGAATCAAGTTTCATTGCACTCACCACTGCAAAGTAATTGGGAAAATAATTTTCAAGTAGGCAAATCCATTTTAGAAATAAAATCAGACACTACTCTGATTAGCTACTTAGACCCTCACCATGCTGTTCCCATTCCCAACTTGAACCTAGGGCCCCTACTGCTCATTCTGCCTGCAACCTCTGAACTAGTCTGAGACGTACAGCTCTCACCACTCATCAAAGAAGCTTCTTTTTGCAAAAGATGGAGACTGTTACAGAGCTCCACAACTGCCCAAACACAGAGAATAAGTATCTTCGAGATTCCCAGTCCTAAGAGTCACATCTACAATGCAACTTCTATACCTAAGGCTTAAGGAACAGAGCAGAATAGGGGGAAGAGAGACTAATAATACATTTCTCAACTCTGACCAGCTAAGCATGCTCTTCATGCAACAGAGGATGATGAGCACAGAAGGCCACAACTGGACAAAGTGTAGAGAATAAAAGGCTGCAGAGTGTGTGTCCCTGGATAGGACTCCTATATTAAACCTCTATCACCCAAAACTCAAGGACCATTGCAGAAAAAAAGGCATGGAAAGACTGTAAGAGCAGGTGATGGTGGATGACCCCAAGGAAACAGTTTTCCAGTCAGTTAGGAACTCACTCGTATGAACACACAGCAATGGTGACAGCATGCACAAGACCCACGCAAACTCAAACCAGACAAAAACCCAGCAAATAGGTAAGAAACCCCAATTTTGGCTGAGGAACTGCTGGCAAATGATCACTGCTGGCTGAGGGAGATTTGGTCTTCTTTAAGGCAGTGACATTAGATAGGCTGACCAGGCTCTAGAGGATGAACTCACACCAAGGAACATCTGGGGACACAAACTTGACTCAATAGGCCTTAAGATACATGACAGAATGCATGAAATCTGGCAGGGGGTAGGGATATAGATAGGGGAGGGAGTCTGAATATGATTAAGATATATTGTATGGAATGCACAAAAATTCAGTAATTTTTTTTACAAAATGAAATCAGAGATGTATTAAACCTTTTTAAGAAAATAGAATCCAACAAAAATGAGAAACAGTAGACTATATATAACTTCTTTAAAACTGTATTAAGGAGCTAAGATGATAAGATTATACAATAGTACAATAAATGAGAACATACACAAGCAAAGTACACAAAATGCCAGGAAGTATCCAACAGTTCAGTGAAAGAATCAAATTCCCAGTTTATATGAATGAAATAAGAAAAGCAATTTTCTATAAAGTTACCAACTTTTCTATCAATTTGTATTTAGAAAATCACCAATAAAAATAACAATAGAACCAAGAGTCAACATCACAAGTGAAAACTATATAAAATATTATGGAGCTCCTAGCCTGCACTACTATCCTCAGGCCTCTTGGGGTAAGTCTACAGCGCAGCTCTCCAAGCCCGGACTCCCTAAGCCTCATTCACCCTTCCACCCCACCCCCCACCCCCCTGCCTCCCGACCGCTGTTCTATACTCTAGTTTGGACCCTGTGCCATTCCTAGTCTTGGGGCCCCAGACACCTGGGGAACCAATACTGTTTCCTGATCCTTCTCACCCAGAGCAACTCAGGCCCTTTCTTGGGCTCCAGGAGCACCGCTTCTGGTCCTGGCCCTGCCCTCATC